GGGGGTTGGGGTTGGGGCTAGAGATGGCTGGCCACCGGAGAGGGAAGGGGTTAACTGACAGAGCAGTTGGTAGGGGCGGTGGCTGGTGGCCGGCGGTGGCTAGCGGTGGTCACCAGGTAAAACCGTAAGTGGTCCATGTGGTAACAATAACTCGACGGTCCAAGTAACTATAATTGATCGGCTCTGAATAATTGAAATTGATTGGATCGAGTAACTATAATTGATCGGATCGTGTAACTGATCTGGTCGAGTAATTTTAAATGGTTGAACCGAGTAACTATAAACGGTTGAAACAAGTAAATGTAATTAGTCAGACGGGTAACTGTAACTGGCTGGATTGGGTAATTGGTCAGATTTGGTGAGTGGTTGGATCCAGTAACTGTAATTGGTCGGATCCGATAACTGTAATTGGTTGGATCCGGTAACTGAATTGGTCGGGTAATTGCAATGTTCTAAAAGGCGCCTAGGCGGGGACATAAAAATTGTAGTTTTATCAATATTTTTGCATAATCATGATTAGTAATGTTGTGTTTGTGTGTGTAAAAAATATACACACATATACACATCAACATGCATGAATGATAGAGTTGTCACATTTAATAATATATTATACCAACTCACTTACTCACTAGTAGCTTTCTTCATATGTGTTGTTAAAGTTAAAGTGCATATATCTCCTTGGATACTGAAATAAAAAAGCTAAAAATGTTCGATGAATCTAGACAGCTAAGCAGCCGATAAAGCGCTCTGGACGGGAAAATAGGCACCCTATGCGGCCGACAAATTCACCTAGTCGCCAAATCAATTAGTCGGAGCGCCTAGACAAAAATCGGGGCGCCCGGCCACCGTCTAGCGCCTATGCGAGGACTAGTCGGGCGGGCGTCTAGAGCGATTTTTAGAACAGTGGGTAATTGTAATTGATTGGTCAAGTAACTGTAATTGGTCGGATAATTGTAACTAGCGTGGGATAATTCTAACTGGCCGGATGGATAATTGTAAGTTGTTGAATGTGTGATTGTAACTTGACGGATCAAATAATTGTAAATTGTCACCGGATAATAATCGTAACTCTGAAGATATAAAAATGATACAATTTTGTTTTTAATCTTGGAAATGGTTGCAACATTTTGAGAAATTTGAAATGGCCATGTGATTTTGATATTTTAATCTTAATTTTTTGAATTAATTCAACTTTTGGTCCTACAAATTTTATGTCATTTCCACATTTAGTCTACGTCTTTCACTTTGTTCACTTTTAGTACTTGACTAATGTTTCTTGACCTTTTTTTGTCTTTCTCCGACGAGTTTAACCACCAGAATTATTGCCGGAAGGACCATATATGCGCGAAAACACAGTAGTCATGTATCAAAAGTGGTCAAACTCAAAGACGTGGACCAATTGTGGAATTGGTGTGATGCTTATAGGACCAAAACTGGAATTTTTTCAATGTTTTAATGATATCCTAGATTTGTTAGAAGAGGTCCTAAATTTTAGACCTGCAAAAAATCAGGTTGGCCCGCCCGGCCCGCCTGGCCCGCTCACCCCGCCTGCACAAATGGGCGGACTTGGGTTAGGGTGTAGGCCCGTTCTTACGGACGGGTATGGACATGAGATTAGGCCCGTTTTGCGGGTTAGGCCGAGCCCGCCCACACATGATGGGCACAACATTTATAAAAAGTCCGGTCCAAACCCATTTTTGTGCAGGTCTACTAGATTTGTCCAACTCCTTTTAATTAGTACTCATAATATCTAGGGAAAATAATTAAAATACCCCACACTTTGATGGGGTGTGAGATAAATACTCCAAACTTGAATATGTAATTTAAATACCCCAAACTTTATATAAAAGTTATTTTAGCACCATGGTCATGTATTATATTTTCAAGACGCGGGGATATTAGTCCCCATGAGCACCTAGAGGTACCCCAAAATGTACCCCGTTTTTACCCCCACACCATAATGTGTGGCCATAAATGACCAGGGGGTGGGGACGTTGGGGACGAACGTCCCTACATCTTGAAAAAAATTATGCATGACCATTGTGCTAAAATAATTTTTTATATAAAGTTTGGGATATTTAAATTACATATGCAAGTTTGGGTGCTTATCTCACACCCCATCAAAATTTAGGGTATTTTAATTATTTTTCACTAATATCTATCAGCTAACCCCAACTCTATTTTTATTCCTAAAATCCATTAATTTTTTTTATGTCACACCACCCAACACACTTACACACCTTATCTTGTTTGCGCCACTTTTGACTAATATCTGATGCGTGTGAGTCCGAGACCTGTCATAGATCCTGAAGCACTTATCATTCTCGCTGATACTTTCCTCTTTCCTCTCCCAATTTTATGCAATCTAATGTTTCAATCCAACTCCTTATCATTCTCGCATTGCGTTAATACGGGAATGGTCGACACAAAACTACATACAATTAGTAAAGTGTATCATGTCATTCAAGAAAAAAGGTTGTACATTAATGGTTGTACCATATTCCACACATTTTGTAGATAGACATTCATAATGTTTGCAACTAGAATAAACAACCCACAAAAACACATTCCCACATTAATAACAATTCATATGCTTCCTCCGCCTTCTTCAATCGCCACAAACGAACAACGTATTGACATCTCTTGTTCCACATGTTTTCATACTCACAATCTGGAATCAACGACTTTCCCATTAACAGGTGCTCTGTAAAGGAAGCCACTAAAGAAGTAATATGAGTGCAATATTTTCTGTATGAGTGTGTGTTCAAAATATGCTAGAAAGTGATGTAAGGGTCGATATGAATGCATTTAATTTTCAAAGAACGGTAATTTTGTACTTTTATTCAATAAATAGGAATTACAATGCATGTCTTTATTAATGGAAAAGGGAAATAGATGTTTATTTTGACTAAGTAAATAGGACAAGACTCTATTAGATGGATGGCCCAAGGTTTTATGCAAGGGCCATATCTTGGGCAATGGCGTAAGCCTCATTGAGGTAATCTTGAACCGACTTAGTTCCTTTCTTGAGTTTTCCCAGGGCGGATTTGAGAGAGATAATCCGTCCGCGAGAGGTGTCGGCATAAGTGAGAGATAGTGTGTCCCATGCATGACGGGCTGTTGTGGCAGCTGAAATGAGGGGCTGGATGGTGTCGGAGCAACTTCCCAGGAGAGGACTGAGGATCGTTCGATCTTGTCGAAACCAAATGATATAGCACGGATTAGGTTGAGTTTTGGAGTCATCAAGAAATTTAGATAGAGTTTCAAGGGTGTCGTCGATGTATGAATCGAGGCCAAGACCGATCAAGGCGGAATGAACTTGACACTTCCAGACCGGATAGTTGGAAGCTGTCAGTTTGATCGGGAAATTGGTGGTGGCAATGAGGGTTACCACAGTGGTGGTGGCGGTGATACTCATGGTTAGGGCCGAAAAAAATATATTGATGTATAGATCTCTTTAGAGTAAGGCTCTTGATACCATAAAGAAGTAATATGAGTGCAATATTTTTTGTATGTACATTGATCCGTATAGAGGTAATATATACATGAATGTTAGCTACAATCGTGCATGAGATAACTATCTAGTTATGAGATAACTATCAACTATCTATGAGATAATTATCAACTAACTAAGAGATAATAGTGATACGTATGATGTAGTCCTTATACAAAATGTACATGATTTAATAATAGTAAATTAGGTTTCATTAGCCACCATCACTCCACATTCTCTCGACCTGTAGACAGACAAATCAGAAGGAAGGCCATACACTTTATATCACATTACAGACAATTTGTTGCAATACATTGGTAGAGAAGTCAATTCCCATGACAGAAAACTACAACCCAATTTTAAAGAATTCCAAACGACGTGCAAGACAATTCAAAATAAATTGACAGACAACTCCAAACCAATTACATAATATTCAAAATACCATGACAGACATCTCAATATAATCACAGAGTAGTCTAAATATACACAAGTACTTCACAATTTCACCGGACAGACAACTATTTTTACATTACAGACAACTCAAATAGAATGCCAGACAACACTTTTCACATACCAATTATGAAACAATGCTCAGCTAGACAGACGCTGCACTTCAAATTTGTCGGCCAGACAGACATCCCTTTTTCATGCGGAGTTTGACAAAAAAATACCAAAAAATGAGGAAAAAAGACCATCTCATGTCTTTCAAGACCATCTCACCTTCGTCATCAACCTCCTCGCTTGTGAGGACACAACCGTTGGTTTGTGGGGGTGGTGACGAAACAGTGCCTCACATGACGGATGGGGCTTCCCCCGACCTCTACCGCCAGAGATCTGAGCTATTCACAAACATAATGACAACTTCAAGCTATTCACAAACATAATGACAAACAACACTAACATTACAACTCTATTCACACCAAGATAAAATCAATCCAACAAAAATAGAACAAAATCCATACCTTCCAGGCATTTGTGTTAAGCTTGTGAGAACGATGGAGCTTGAAACCTTCACAACAAGTGTTTACGCCTTATAATAGGGCTGAGCCGAACAGGTGTGAACTGGGTTGGTTCGTGGGGGTGAGGACGGCAGTTGGTTGTTTCGTAGGGGCGAGGACGACGGTTGTGGCGGATGGGTTGGGAACTGTTGAGGTTGGTGCGAGTGGGAGTTTTTGGAAAGTTGGTGAGATGAGGGGGATATTTGGAACTGGAGATAGGGGGGAAGGTTATGCGCAGGTGAGGGAGGGGAGGTGAAGTGAGAGGTAATTTTTTTGGAAGATTTTTATATGGGGTACAAAATGAGATAAATTTGAGCTATCTATAGCAAAATTGATTTTTATTCCTAAAATCCATTAATCTTTATATATTATTATTATTATTATTATTTTATTTTATACTTAAAGGCACTGCGCAGGAAAGAGAAACTTTTTCCGCTTAAGAATACTTCTAGCTAGAGGGCTTATTTGTAAATTCACCCACCCGCTAAAAACTGAGAAATCCGTTCTTCCACCTTCCACAATTCAGAGCATCTTTCTTCTTCATTGTTTACTCGGCCACCCCCTTCAGCCCACCTGCTGTCAAAATCCCGTGTAAGAGACTGAAGGTTTACATCCGTGAAAGAGCACCACAGTCCGTCGAATTAGCGTTTCTTCTCCAACTAAAGTTGAGTTCTCCGATTAAAGTTGAGTTATGTATTAGGCATTTCTCGCCCAATTAACGCCCGGTCTTCCACATCGATTTGTCACTTCTCTATCAGATTTCGTTCCACTTCATGGTAAAAGGCTAGGTATGGAAATCTTTCTTTCGTCGATCTTCAGTCACAAGTTGGTAAGTTATAATTTTCACCATTTTGTGTTTACAATTTCATGTTTCGAATGCGATTTTAGTTTTCTTTGCTTCTAAGTTGATCGTTTCTCCATATATTATTCTGCTGAAATCTTATTCTTCATTCCACTTTCTCTATCTCGTGCTTTTTTGCATTAGGTTTTCCCAATTAGGTTTGTTATTCTTGGCATTTTGACAGTCTCACCGCTCACGTGCAACTGAAGAACTCCAAATGTGCCACTGAGAATTAGAGGTAACATTACTGATATTATTTGTAAATATAGAAAGTTTTAATATCTTTTCTTTCCAATGCTACGGTTCCAGTTTTTTGCATAGCTTCTCTGATAAACTAGCCAAGTATGTCAAACAGCCCTTTCCAGTTTGACATAGTCTCACCACTCACGTGCAACTGAAGTACTCCAAATGTGCCCCTGAGAATTAGAGGTATCATTACTCATATTATTTGTCAACCGAGTCCTTTTTGTTTAATATATAAGTTCTATTAATTGTAGTTTTACAAACAGTTTGATTTCTTGCTATAAATAAATTATTGTTGATCCTATCATTTTCAGTTTAATATATGTCTTTTCATAGTTATATTTAAAAAAGAAGTGCTTTGTATTAGAGCAAATATATAAAGCATTAGAGCAATTCTTGATTATTCTGAATTCTCTTTTGTTATTGAAATACTCAACAAGGAAACAACCCAATTTTTTTTGTCTTCGTCTCCAGGGGAGAGGTCGTAAGCTTGCAGTAAAGAATCTAGATAAACCTGCAAAGTGATCCCACCCGCTTCAACATTTTCCCCAAATATTATATTGAAGGTGAATTTATTATTTGCTAACTTAGTCTCACACTTTTACTTAATGGGTATGAGATAGTTTTCCTTTGTTAGTGTATTTTGTCTCTCTTTGTGCGATTTCCTTGCGAACCATTGGTGACACCTATATGCGGCAAATGTTCATGGCTTCATGAATTAGTCATTTTTTAATAATTTCATCGGGTAAATTGAATGAGTAATTTTCTGTTTCTTATATTTCTAATAACTGAGAAGTTGGTTAATGAGTAATTTTGTTAAAAAAGAGGCCAGGGTAACTTGATTACCTTATTACCTTATAACCTAATTTAATTATATTTCTTATTTCTAAAACATATTTGTATCAAATCAAGTAAGAATTTAGTTATTCACACCATTTTGCAGCAAATAAGTGCCTATCAGGGAAGATTAAAGAATGTCAAAAAATGAATTACATCTGAAAAGTGAGAAAATTGTGTCGGCAAATGAGTCAAGCTATAATGCACTAATAACTGTCTATAATCACATGTTTCTACATAAGAATGTTTCTATTATTGCCTAATACTGATTCTTTTCCCTCTAGCTTTATGTTCAGGTTCATATGTTATAAGAAGAAAAGAAGAATCTTATTGAAAAGGCTGAGTTTCAGTATTTAATTTTTGTACTATTTCTTTTTCAGTCTTAATTCTGTTAATTTGATGGTGAACTTGTGTGTACACAATAGGGATGCTGAGAAAAATTTTAAAGAAGCAAAAGCTAGAGCCTAGAGCAAATGAGTTTGAGAAGTTGGTTATTGAATGTACTTTTTCTATATCAAGGTATAGGATGTCTTGATGGTTGTTGAGAAAAGAATCTCAAGAGGCAATTATTGGATATAAGTGATTTAAAAAAGTTATTATTTATTCATTTATAGGTTTACTGCTTTATTTTTCAAAGTTGTATAAATGATATTTTCAAAGGCTGTGCCAGTGTTGAACTACATAGTTTTATAAATACCTTAAAAATATATTTTCAAATACTAATATTATTTAAACTCTAATATAAATGCGGTCTGTATGATTTAAATTACTAAACCATTAAGTAGAATGGTTTCTTGGAGAAAGTTAGACCTCATAAGATAGAAGTTGTATTTAGTCAATGAAAATATTTAAATTCCTCCCACTACTTCTAAGGCTGTAGGTATGCCTAATGGGCGAGAAGGAATTATTCAGGATGATGTAATGGGGAATAAACCTCCTCTCGGTTAGGATAGTCTAGGTCTCATAACTTCTATTTTAGCATTCCTTCAAAACTATTGGTTTTTTCTTTCTAACCATTGAGGTTCATTCTTTCATTTCTGAGAATTTTTAGCTTTGCCATTATACATGAGCACTCAAATAAATATGCTGAATAAAGTTTAATAATACGTAGTATAGTTTATTGCAAAGAGTTTCTTTAGTTGGTTAGTTGTTCTGAGGAGAGATAGATTATCTCTATGTTGACTATGCTGCATTATATATATATATATTTGATTTGATTAGTGGTCTCACTATGAGTCTGGCTTTATTTCAAAGAGTTGCTTTAGTTGTGATGGAGTATATGGCCCGGGAACCCCCGGCCCACAAACTCCTACTACACCAATGAAAGTCCAACAGGCCCAGGAGGCCCAACAGGCCCAAACCACAGCGCCCAGAGTACCAAGCAGTCCGCACTACGCGCCAGGGGTGCCTTCGGCCCCTTGGCCGAAGGCTCCAAATTCTCACAGAACGGGTTTCTCAAGCAAATTAAGAAACTGGGAAAAAACGGCGAAAACAGTAGCCCTCGGCACTGTGAGCCCTCGGCACCAGGGTGCCATCGGGTGGAAGAGCCCTCGGCTACTGTTCTATAGCCGAAGGCATCTCACTCGACAAGATATCCGCCTCACATGCGTACAGATCACCGTACCCCGCATAGACGTCCCATCCAACAGCCGCATTAAATGCGGCCACATGCGGCTGCCAGCGCCAACCAGTTGAGGTGACCCCTCGGCCAATGAGCGCTTGACATGTGTCCCTGCCCGGCATTTATTGCTACTATAAATAGCACCCCATTTCCTCATTTGTAACCACGCTGAAAACGGCATTCATACTGAATATACTCTCTCTCTACATTTACTTACTTGCTCTGACTTCTCTCTAAGTTATTCCCCGTAATAACCCTTCGGATATATACCCCCGGGTAGACTATCCATCATTTGGTGCTCTCGTTGAGAGGTCGAACAATCAAGTAAGAAACCCTCCCCCTCGATCAAACGCAAAACACTAGCCCTCCATCAAAATGGTGAGAACAACACGTGCCAACTCAAAGAACGTAGAAGACAAGAACCTGACCCTCGGCGACGTCAACGCCCTCGAAGCCTCTCACAGGGCTCCCGAGGGCGGTGTCATCGCTGGGCTAGAACAGGCGGCTGTCGATCTACGCCTTCAGATCCAACAGAATGCCCCCGATGCCCGCCTCGGCATCGAGGCCAAGAAGAAAAACCGGAGCGATGATCAAGTCAGCCCTCCGGTTCTCACCATCGACGTACAATCGGCGCTCTCCGCCTTCATCCAAACGCTCACCCAGAACCCGGGTGCCTTCGGCATCCTGGCTCCAGCTCACCCTCAGATCGGGGAAAATATCATACTTCCCCCTCTGCCACACCCCTTCGGAAATCCCACCCCTCGGGTGAGAAACGACGAAGGGGTGGTGGCCCAAGATACGTCCTCCCAGGAAGTTCAGTCCCGGGACCGCCATAATGACAACAGGGAAAGGCTCCGTACTTCCGCTCTCAACCGGCTCGGAGGAGGGCCAGACCGCCGAGGGGTCCAAGACCGCCTCGGGGGAAAGCGCTCCAAAGGCCCCAGGAAAGCGGGGGATCTGTTTCGAGGGCAGACGAGGAGCGTCCCCCCCGGAACAAAGGCAAGGCACCCCTTCATACCAATGACGCTCGCCACCAGATCAACCAGGCCCACTCGGCCCGGGTTCGTTCGCAGGGGGCGGAGACCCTCCCGAAGGATCCCCGGGACGAGATTATTGCGGCCCTCCAACGCCGGCTTGACAAGATGGAGTCCAACAAAGCTCACGCCACCACCTCCACCCCTATTTCAGATCTCAAATACGAGGCCATGATGGCCAAAATGGAGGAGTTGCAGAAGAAGGTGTCTGACGGCTCCGGAGAACCCGTCATCCAGCTCCGGACTCGGACGCCATTTACCCCAAGGGTGTTGGCGGCCCGGATTCCGGAGAAATACCGAGGGCAACACATACAGCCCTACAACGGGAAAACGGACCCCCAGGAACATTACAGCAAGTACCAGAACATCATGATGATGGTAGGGGCGTCGGATGAATATTTGTGTCGTTGGTTCCTCTCCACCTTAGAGGGGCCGGCATACGAATAGTTCAACAGGCTGCCCGAGGGCTGTATTGATTCATGGCAAGAACTCGCCCAGCGATTCTTGACACAATTTGCCGGGAGGCGTCACACGAGGAAGCACTTCTCCCACCTCCTTACAATACGCCAGAAGAGGGATGAGACCCTTCGGGACTTCCTAGAGCGCTGGAGGACGGAAGCCGACAAGGTCGACGGTGCTGATGACGGGACCCTCCTGGCCCTCCTACAAACCGTCCTCCGCACCGGCAACTTTTCAAGGAGCCTCATCATTGAACCCCCCCGCGACTACATAAGGGCTTTGCAGCGGGGGGATCGATATGCTGAGGCCGAGGAGGTGGAGAAGTATCACCAGCATCCGGACCAGCAGCCCCCGAGGGCTGACAACAAGCATAACCGAGGGCCGGGGGCTCCTCCAAATCACCCCAAGGCTTCGGGACCCTCTGATGACCGCCCTCGGCAAGGCCAAGCCAAGCCCGAGGGAGGTTATAAGAGCAACCCTAAGACTTGGGCCCAGCCCATTCTCCTGGACCGCCCTCGGACACCATTGACGCACCCCGTCAGCATCATCCTCAATTTTGCCGAGGAGAGGGACCTCGTTGAGCGCGACTCTCGTGCACCCCCGGAGGTACACGCTATCAACCCTCAGTTCCCCTACTGTCGCTTCCATCGGCACCAGGGGCACAGGACCGATGACTGCCATCAGCTGAAGACAGCCATCGAGAGATTAATACAGGCGGGGCACCTGTCCCAATTTGTCCAGAGCCCTCGGCAGGAGGGACCTTCTCATCAGGGACCTCCCCGAGGGCACCATACGAAGGTAAATGCCTGGGTAAATCCGAACACCATCCCCCTCGGCAAGAAGAGGGAGATCGGAAACTTGGAAGAAGAGGAGGAGGAGTACCCCCACTACCAGGAGAAGAAACGCCACATCCTCATGATCACCGGTGGCAATACAGGGGGCGATTTCACCAGCCAGCGAAAGAAGTGGGCTCAATCACTTTACGTAGGAGAAGTCACTCATATGCCCCCGGTAAAGCGACTGAGGGAGGAACCCATCACCTTCACCAACGCAGATCTCCCCCCTACTTCTTCTCCTCACAGGGATGCCTTGGTAATTCGGACGGAGATAAGCGACACCATCATTCACCGAACTTACATTGACACGGGCAGCTCCGTCAATGTAATGTACCTCAGCACCTTCAGAGAGCTGCATCTGGAGAGGGGGTCCCTTCGGCCCATTAAGACCCCTCTTGCCGGCTTCACCGGCGACACTATTGATTCCGAGGGGGTAATAACCCTCCCGGTGATCTTCGGCGACGGGCTCCATAGAGCCCAGCTCGAGGTGGAGTTCGTCGTCGTCAACATTGACTGCGCCCACAACATCATCCTCGGCCGGCCAGCCCTCGAGGACCTCGAAGCCATCATCTCCATGAGGCACCTCTGCCTCAAGTTTCCCGCCGAGGGGGGCATTGGCTACTCCCGGGGGAACCAGAAAATTGCCCGCGCCTGCTATCTTCAGGTCACTAAGAAGGTAAGCAAGACGGAATTCCGTGTTGACACCATCACCGGAACCATCGACCAAGAAGAGAAAAGGCCGAGGGCTGAACCAGCCGAGGACGTAGAAGACTTCGCGCTCGATCCGTCCCAGCCGGAGAGAGTCGTGAAGATTGGAGCCCAGCTCCCTGAAGATTTGAAGACCGGTATCACCGACGCCCTCCGCGCCTACTCCACTCTCTTTGCATGGGGGCCGGAGGACATGTCGGGAATCAGCCGAAGGGTCATCACCCACCGCCTCTCGGTGGACCCTTCGCCAAAGGCAGTACAACAACGAGAGGAGGGAATTTGTGAAGAAGGAGGTCGCCATGCTCCTCTCCATTAAGCACATCAAGGAGGTGAAATATCCCTCATGGCTGGCGAATGTAGTCCTCGCACAGAAGCCCCCTACCTTCCGCATGTGCGTGGACTACACCGATCTCAACAAGGCGTGCCCTATGGACCCGTTCCCTCTACCAAATATTGATCAACTAGTGGATGAGACCGCAGGGTGTGAGATCATGTCCTTCCTCGATGCCTTCCGAGGGTATCACCAAATTTTTATGCACGAGGAAGACGCCGAAAAAACTGCCTTCATGACTCCCGAGGGCATCTTCTGCTACCTAGTCATGGCCTTCGGCCTAAAGAACTCAGGGGCCACCTACACCCGGATGGTGGCCCGGGTCTTTCAAGCCGTCCTAGGGCGCACCATGGAGGCCTATGTTGACGACATGATCGTCAAAAGCAAACAATCTTCCAGCCATGCTGACGACCTCCGGGAAATCTTCGCCATCATGCAAAAATTCAACCTTCGGCTAAACCCGAAGAAGTGCACCTTTGGTGTCCAAGGAGGCAAATTCTTGGGCTACATGGTGAGCCGAAGGGGTATTG